CTCCGCCTCCTGGGTTCACACCATTCTCCTGCCTCAGCCTCCCGAGTAGCTGGGACTACAGGCGCCAGCCACCAAGCCTGGCTAATTTTTCCTGACCTCGTGATCCACCCGCCTCAGCCTCCCAAAGTGCTGGGATTACAGGTGTGAGCCACCACGCCCGGCTGGAAACTTGTATTTGATTGCTTTTGATTGAATGTATCTGTCCATAAATAACTTAAACTAGGGATATATACTGTTTAGTTCATAAACCAGAAATAAAAATAGAAAATCAGGGCAAACAAAGGGAGAGTATCGTTAATACAGTTGCTGTGACTAGTGTAAAATTTGATTCAGAGCTTGCTTATAGGCAAGAAGAAAAGAACAACACATTAATTATCTCAGAAAATACAAAATAGACCGGTTCTACATGGGTAGCAAAGTTGATCCTGGCTAAGAATAAAATAATTTTGCAAGTAGGACAGCTAATGTGGTCAGAATATTCAGGTGAGTAGACAGATCCATGGTGTATTCATAAAGTAGCTCTCCTAAATATTTCTTTCTCAGTATTAGATTAAAAACATTTGGTAGCCGGGCGCGGTAGCTCGCACCTGTAATCCCAGCACTGTGGAAGGCTGAGACGGGCAAATTACTTGAGGCAAGGAGTTTGAGACCAGACTGGTAATCGTGGTGAAACCCCATCTCTACTAAAAATGCAAAAATTAGCCAGGTGTGGTGGTGTGTGCCTGTAATCTCAGCTACTCAGGAGGCTGAGGCGTGAGAATTACTGGAACCCGAGAGACGGAGGTTACAGTGAGCCGAGATCACACCATGGCACTCCAGCCTGGGCAATAGAACGATATTCTGCCTCTCAGAAGAAAAAAAGCCGCTTGGTATTATGTTCTCTGATCAAAGCCTGGAGTGCTACCTAATTGACAGAAGCTTTGGCTCCTTGCAGTCTGGCCATTGCTTGCCTTTGCAGCCTAATTAATGATTACCTTAATCATAAATGCCTTGTGCTAATCTTTTGTGTTAGCCTTCCATTCCCCAGAACCAGTCAAGTTGGTAGTAGAATATTCATTTTATAATATGGGTTAAGAAAACCAGTGTTACGGGGTTGGACAGCTCCTTCATTAACTTATTTATAAAAATTGTCATGTTAAGTTTTTTTTTGATGCACGCTTAGGTCTAGGAGTTTTAATAGTTACTAATAGAACAGCCCAGTGAATCCTGAAGCTAATACCTTTTTGTTGTTGTTGTTGTTGTTGTTGAGACTAGGTTTTGCTATGTTGCCCAGGTTAGTCTTGAACTCCTGGTCTTAAGTGATCCTCCTGTCTCAGCCTCCCAAGTAGCTGCGATTACAGGCTGGTGCCACTGTATCCAACACCTGTATTTCTGCCTGTTAAATGTCATTTGAGGTTTATAATTTTATAGAATTGGACTCTCTTTAAGTCCTAATGAACACTAATCTGACCAGAGTCACCCAACCTAACATTACACAGAATCAGATATTTGTATTGCTTCTTGAAAACCTAGTTACTAAACAGGGTTTTGTGTGTGAGTATGAGTGTGTATGAGAGAGAGACCCTTTTGCTTATTCCAGGTCTTAACTTTTTATTTTAATCAGTAAATATTTCTAAAGCGAAAACTGCTGTGATGGAGCTCTCTTCTGCAAGGACAGATACAACACCAGTTATAACCAGTGTGGTGTCATTGGCAAAAATACCTGCTGCCTTATCTACAGGGAACACTAACAGTGTTTCAAAAGGTATGACTTGATATAATGACATTTGGCTAAGCCATAGAAGTGAGTGTTGTCTAGCCTAAGTAGTTCTCTTTTTTTGAGACAGAGTTTCACTCTTGTTGCTCAGGCTAAAGTGCAATAGCACGATCTCAACTCACTGCAACCACTGCCTCCTGGGCTCAAGCAGTTCTCCTGCCTCAGCCTCCCGAGTAGCTGGGATTACAGGCACCTGCCACCATGCCCAGCTATTTTGGTATTTTTAGTAGAGATGGGATTTCACCACGTTGGCTAGGCTGATCTCAAACTCCTGACCTCAGGTGGTCCACCTGCCTTGGCCTCCCAAAGTGCTGGGATTACAGGTGTGAGCCATTGGCCAGTAGTTCTTACTGGTAATACCTTTCTTTATGTGATGTAGGGGAACATGCACCCCCTCCCGCCACCCCCCCACCCCCGCCTCAGGGGAGTGGGTAGCAAGCAAGGTGGTGTGGATGGGAAAGGAAGTGTCTTTATTTTTGTTTTTTCAATTTTTAATTTTTTTTTTGAGACGGAGTCTCACTCACCAGGCTGGAGTGCAATGGTGCAATCTGGGCTCACTGCAACCTCCGCCTCCCAGGTTCAAGCAATTCTTCTGTCTCAGCCTCTTGAGTAGCTGGGTTTACAAGTGCCTGCCACCACACCCGGATAATTTTATATTTTTGGTAGAGATGGGGTTTCACCATGTTGACCAGGCTGGTCTGGAGCTCCTGGCTTCCCACCTTGGCCTCCCAAAGTGCTGGGATTACAGGCCACCACACCGGGCTAATTTTTTTTCTTTTTTTTTTTTTAATCAGGCAGGCTCTTGAGCCATAGAAGGTTCAGAGACACTCCCCAGGAAGTGATATTTTTTTAGGAGCCCAAATTATTTTAATATTCCTACTCCTTTACTGCCAGAGATTCTAATACAGTTGGATGGGGTTGGGGCCCATGAGTCCTTACCAATATTAAGCACCCTGGGTGATACTGATGCAGTTTCCTTGTACCATGTTTCTGAGAAATTCTGGTTTAGACTCTAGCCCAGCTTAATGGGAGAAAAGTAACTTCTCAGTTTCAGTGTTTACTTCTGTATATTCTAAGGATAATAATGTTTATTTTAATTTACAACAGGTGCAGTTTCTAAAGAGGCAGCAAAGATCATTCAAGATGTGAGTTTGATTGTTAATACTTTTCTTGATAATGCCACTTGGGCTTATTTTCACTTTGGATATAGCATTCTAATATATCCGAATACTTTTCTTTTTGCTGGAAGAGGGTCCTAGTCATTAATCTAGGTCTTGGGCACAACTAACAGTAAAGTGACTGGCATAGGCTTTTGACCATATTTCAGCAACAATTACTGTTTTTGAAGATGATGTAAACGTGGATTGCTGTTCATAGTGGCAAGCTTAGTTTTTAAAAAAGTGGAGTGATATATTGTGCGCTTTTGTTTTGAATCTTACAGTTTAATCTTAGATCATTAGTAAGAATGCATTCTTGATTTATTTTATTATTTATATTCAGGTTCTTTAATTTATTTAAATTCTTGTTAATTCTACTTGGTTGGAAATAACAAAACTACATTATTTTTCTCTTTTACTATATTCAAGTATTTTCCTTTTAAGTTTCGAAAGTTCAGTGTAGTCCTGTTTTATGCAACTTTGAATTATGTGAGACTGAAAATAGTGCAAAGTAAAAATACATTTAGACTTTCACTTTATGTCTCAAATTTGAAATATTGTGAGACTTCTCAAAATTAAAAGAAATATTCAAGAAATGCATACTTTCAAGTCTGGCAGGCTGACTGCAAATTATGGCATTGTTGCCTTGTATCAGCATCACTTTAGCAGGAAAACAAAATTCCCGTCATTCTTTATTAGTATCACATGATACTGTATCAGTTCTTGGGTTAATGTTTTTGATGACTGTTATGCCTTTTTTTTTTTTTTTTTTTTTTTTTAGACAGGGTCTTGCTTTGTTGCCCAGGCTGGAGTGCAGTGGCATGATCATAGCTCACTGCAACCTTGAAATCCTGAGCTCAAGCAATCCCCTACCTCAGCCTCCTGAGGAGCTAGAACCACAGGTGTCTGCCACCACGCCCAGCTTGTTTTGTTTTTTTCTTTTGTTGAGCTAGGGTCTCAGTCTTGCTATGTTGCCCAGGCTAGTCTCAAACTCCTGGCCTCAAGTGATCCTCCCGCCTCAGCCTCCAAGCTGTTGTGATTACAGGCATGAGCCGATGGCGCCCAGCTTGTGCTGCTGTCTTAAAATTGCTCTTGAGATAATTAAAACTCTTTTTCATATCATATCATATAATATAAATGCCATTATATTAAGTGGTGGTGCTAGTGCTAAAAAATGTGCCCCAAATTTAATAACTTTAGAACGAAAGTTAGATGTAATAAAAAAAATCTATGAAGATGACCAAACCAGTGCTGTGATATCTCATGCCATTAATTTAGGAGAGTGTACCCTGCAGAATATTAGTGGTAGTGCTCAAAAAACCGAAAGCAGTATTAAAGCAGGTATGCCTCTTAGTTCACAAAAATTGTAACCAGGCATTGATAATGGAATAAATGGAAAAAGTTCTGGTAACACAAGTTGCAAGATCAATGCTGCCATAATGCACCCCTGAGGGCAATCTATCATCTATGCTAAGGCATGAGTATTCTGATTTTGATTTGAAAAGAGGTGACAGTGAGACAAAAGGTTTACTACAAGTCATGGCTGGCTTTCCAATTTTAAAGCTCACCAAGGTTTTAGGAATATAAAAATGAGCCGGCAAGCTGTATCTGCTAACTCCAAAGCTATCAAAACATTTCAGCCTTACCATAATTTAAAGAGGCTTTAACTTGGAAGACAACATAACAACATAACACCTGCTAATAAGGAATCTGTGCAAGTAGAACAGAAGGTAGATTTGCATAGAGTTCCTGAAGAGGATATTGAATATTTGCTTGGGTTGTTCCCCATGGATTAATAAAGGAAGTCTTGCTAGAATTAGAAAAATAAAAGCAGCTGGAAGAGGGTCCTAGCAGTCAAGCTGGGCCTTGGGCACAACTGACAGTAAAGTGACTGCCATAGGCTTTTGACCATATTTCAGCAGCAATTACTATTTTTGAAGGTGAGCTAAATGTGGATTGCTGTTTGTGGTGGCAAATCTAAAGATGAAAAATGTGTCTGCATACCAAGAAATCCTCAGTGAAAAAAAAAGAAAAAGAAAAACTCTCAAGCTACATTAGATTCATTCTTTAGCAAAAGTCTTCCAAGGAATCAGACCAGCCTTCGCTGAAATGTGGAGAGATAGCTTGTCCTAATTTAGTGTCTCGTAACCCTCTCATTATTTGTGTTATTGGAAGATGATAGTAATTTCTCCTTAATTATTTTCAAGCAGCATACCACATTAGATAATGAACTGTCATTAAGTTAACTTGGTATTTATTTGAATATTATGTATTGTGCATTAAATTATATTTTAAAATTACATAATAAATCACTGTGTTGTACATTAATTATTAACCACACAATTGTATAATCAAGATATTAATGTATTATTATATATTAGTATTAACATGTATTCATAAAAACATTCTATATTAATTATAGATTTATGTACTCTGAGAATGCTTCTTTCCTCTCTATATATGAGATAATTAGCCTTGAATTATGTTAGTTTTGAATTATTTAGTTTTTTAGGAACCTATACCTCATATTTCATGTAGCTGCCCTATATATGTTTTTCCTATGTGGAGTATTTGTTTTTTTTTTTTTTTT